AGAGCTTAGAAAATGAGGTAAAGCTTCACTTTGCAAAGCTTACCCAAATCACAAGCAAAGAAAATTAAAAAAACTGCATTTTTACTTGCACATGATTGGATGATGGAAGTCAGCAAAGCTTCTGCTCATTTACTAAGTTCTGGAGCAACTGCACTTTGTAAAGCGCACAGTCTATTTGCCTTTAGTAAATCAACCCCAGAGTGTGCAGAAAGCAACAGGTCACAGGATTCAATCCAACTAGACTGGCAATACACCCTGTTCCAAATTATTATGCAAATTCTATTTAAGTGTTACAAAGATTAAATATTTTGTTTTTCAGTTTAACTCATGGATGGCATTGTGTCTCAGGGCTCTTTTGATCACTGAAAACAATCTCGGACACCTGTGATAATTAGATTGGAAGGTGAGTACAATTCAAGGAAAAACTACTAAAGAAGGGTGTTCCAGATTATTAAACAGAGCACCATTTTCAAGCAATATGGGGAAGAAAAAGGATCTCTCTGCTGCCGAAAAGAGTGAAATAGTTCACTGTCTTGGACGAGATTCAAGCACAGGCGGGTTTGTGCAGATAAAGGCACATTGAGGAAGATTTCTGCCAGATCCATGCATCGGATCAAGAGAGCAGCTGCTAAAATACCATTACACAGCAGTCCTCCAGGGTCTTGCAACTGTACATAAACCTTCTATTCGGCCACCACTAACCAATGCTCACAAGCAGAAACGGCTGCATTGGGCAGAAAAATACATGAAGACTAATTTTCAAACAGTCCTGTTCACTGATGAGTGCCGTGCAACCCTGGATGGTCCAGATGGATGGAGTAGTGGATGGTTGGTGGATGGCCACCCTGTTCCAACAAGGCTGCAACGTCAGCAAGGCGGTGGTGGAGTCATGTTTTGGGCCGGAATCATGGGAACAGAGCTGGTCTGCCCATTTAGGGTCCCCGAAGGTGTAAAGATGACCTCTGCAAAGTATGTGGAGTCTATGACTGACCACTTTCTTCCCTGTTACAGACAGAAGGAAGAACTATGCTTTCCGTAATAAAATCATCTTCATGCATGACAATGCACCATCTCATGCTGCAAAGAATACCTCTGCATCAATGACTGCTATGGGGATAAAAAGAGAGAAAGTCATGGTGTGGCCTCCATCCTCCCCTGACCTCAATCCTATTGAGAACCTTTGGAGCATCCTCAAGCAAAAGATCCATGAGGGTGGAAGACAGTTTACATCCAAACAGCAGCTCTGGGAGGCTATTCTGACATCTTGCAAACAAATTCAAGCAGAAACTGTCCAAAAACTCACAAGTTCAATGGATGCAAGACTTGTGAAGCTGCTAACAAATAAGGGGTCCTATGTTAAAATGTAACGTGACCTGTTAAAATGTTTAAAAAGTTAAAATGTTGTTAAAGGTTTGATTGAAATAGCTTTTGATTTCAGTAAATATGCTGCAAACACAACAAATGACAATTTTCAGTTCTTTATAACCTATAAAGTGTTTTGAAACTTACTGTGCGTAATAATTTGGAACAGTGCATTGTAAGTTTTTTATGTTTAAAAAAATACTGTTATCATTAGGCGGTTTGTTCAATAAAATTTGAATTGTACTCTTAATAGTTGATAACATGAGAATTATGCTGACTGTTATTTACATCAATTATTTAGTTAAATGAGAAAAATATAATTTGCATAATAATTTGGAACAGGGTGTAGATGCCACTATACTGTACGAATACAGATTATGTAATGAGCCAAAATGACACAATAGCAAAATTTACCTTTCTCTGATCGAACTGCAATAAAGTGACTTCTGATCTGTGGGTTGCTGTACATTGGATATGATCATTTCTTTTTGCATCACCTTAATAAATAAGCCCAAAACAAGTAAAGAAGACCGCAATTCTCATCTATTTCATCATGGTTCAAAGACATGCTGGTAGGTGAATTGATTCCTGTCTAAATTGGCCCTAGTATGTGTATCTATGAATGTGAGTTAGGGACCTTAGATTGTACGCCCCTTGAGGGTAAGGGACTGATGTGAATGTACAATATATATATTATATTATATAGTACCTGAAATAAATAAATAATGGTTCAGAGGCAGGGGTGGACTGACCATTTGCAAACTCGGGCACTGCCCGAGTGCCCGGGATCAGTAGGGGGCCCCATGAGATGCCCCTGGTACCTTTTTCATAGGCTTTTTTGAGTTTGGGCAAGGACACGGGCCCCATGATCCCCTATTGCCCCGGGGGCCCCATGAGTTGTCAGTCCGCCCCTGTTCAGAGGCTATCATGGCCTAGGGAATATTTGAACATAACAACACAGAAGGAATAAAAACTGGCATTGAAGTAATACGGTTAATTTATCCACTGCACAATTTACTGCATATATTGATCCAATTCCATTTAAAGCAGTCTCTGTTTCATTATACATTAAGAACAAAATGTAATCTGTAATTTCCTAGCTTGTGCCAAGACCAAGGGTGTTTATAATTTAGCTAGCATTATTCTAGAAGCCAAAAAAAATATAACAAACAAAATAAGAAACAAAAAAATTAGGGAAAACAGATGAAATTATGAAACAAAGGCAGTAATAATATGTTGCTTACTAGAAAACGTTGACCCATAGTAAATGCAGTTTAGTGGACTGGTTTTCAATAAAGGAAATGTATACTATAAAAGAGGAAATACATACAGTACATGGTCATGAGTTGCTCCTATGTCGTTGAATGAGAAATGTATCAGCAGGGATTAGGTGGAGCTACGAAGCTAAGAATTGTGTTTAGTCCTGGAAACAAATCCTTAGACTACTTTTATACATACCCTTCATGTTATAATTATGTATGGTCGTTTTCCCTGACAGACTTGCTATGTTTTTTTTTTTTTTTTACTTTTTATGTAGAGCATTGGACTCAGGGATAATCTGTATTACATTGCCTGCCAGTAACTCTGACGAGAAGACTTCAGAGTAAGGGGTAAGGGGGTATAAAGAGACCTGTCTATTTTGTAGGCTGGAAACCCCCTGGTAAGCCTGCCATCAGTGGACTTTGACAAAACAAGGAGGCAATGTTCTAAATGGGTCCTTTTTCCGTTCTCTCATTGAGGGAAAAAGGTCTCCTTTTGTAGCCTCCCCTTTTGGAGAGAAGTCTTAGAAGAAAGTTCCCCATTGAGAAGACTATTTACTTGTGTAGCACTACCCCCTAGGAGCTGCAAAAGACTTTGGGTCCTCCTATAGCCCTGCACAGCCAGGCAACATGCATTCTCACGCAGCCTTGCATCCAGGAGTCAGAGATCAGTCCTTGAGCTTTGTTTTTTGGGGGATTTTATAGGGGGATTTGAACTGGGATAGGGTTAAGGGTGTACAGGATGCCCAATGGAACCAATGAACTGAGGACAACTTCCTGGAACTATTTGCAAGCCTCCACTGCAACACAGTCTCTGTTGGAGAGCTAGCCAGTATCTCCCAATGTAACACCCCAGACCCTAGATGAATTCACCTTCTTTCACTCAGCAATCTGTTGGTATTCCTGAGCAGTGTATTTGGTGGCTGTCTCTTTAGGAAAGGGACAGTCCTAGATAGGTTGTTTCTCACCCTGGTTTTCCTCCTTCTTCTATCCACCCAGGGGGTGCAGGAGTACTCACTCAAATCCTCTCCTGTACCACTGATGGGTTGTTGGCTGCTACCACCCCTTCTAACTGGGCCGCTCCTTCCCTGCTGTAGAGGTGATCCTCCCTCTGGGGGCCAATGAAGCTCCAAGCTTTCCTCCTTTCCAGCTCCACCATTTGGAGGTGAGTCCCTCTCTCCACCTGAGCTCCCTCTCAGGCTCCTGCCTTCAGCCTCACATCTTCCTCTCTGTCTTCCACCCAAACTCTCCTGCTGCTGAACAGGCTCAATCACTTTTAATGGTTGTCCTGGCCCCTTGCCAGGTCTCTTGTTGGGCATTGGCCAGGATCCCTTAAGAGTACAAGCCAGCCACTTCTTATATCCACCCACTGCTTCTAGAGTTTCCTCCAAAGAGGGGCTGGCCTGCAGAGCCCCTCAGCCCTGACCACAATTTGACCTCCTGACTATTGCACCCAGGATGCTACTCAGCCCTTTTCTCTACCAATCAGGACTCCCAAGCTCCCAAGCCAACGTATCACACCTCTGCATGCAGGCCATGTGCCTGAAGGCCACAGGCACGTAATTTTGTCTTATTCTAGTCATTATTGGAATGGAGAAACACTAGAACCATTTGTTTTGTGGCTGCTGTATTCCATTTGAAGCTGCGTGATGCTTCTGGATGTGGAGACTAAACCAAGTGACTGCTAGCCAAGTAGGAGTCCTTGAGAGTTTTGGGTATTTCAACTCTTCCTGTCCTTTTTTTAAGAAGCTGGGATAAATTAATCTGCAATCAAGCTAAACCGTAATCAAGTCTTGACCTAATTTCCTTCTGTGATGCAAAAAGATAATGTAAGTAATTAATGCAAATGACAAGGTAATCCTAAGGGATAGTTCCTCTTATATCATCAAGATCAGGTGTAGACAATGAAGACATAAGAACTCGGGAAAGTAACTTGGTGAACGCTTGGGATCCCTGATACCCTGGTGCTACAGCATTAAGATGCAATTGCTGCTAGGTGATAGTCATTTCACATCCCCCCCCCCCCCAAAAAAAAAAAATTGCACTTGCTATTTTGAAACTTTTTAAAAGCAAATATAACATTTTTAAACTGCAATGATACCAAGGCTTTCCATATATATATATATATATTTATATATATACAGTATACAGAGATTTTTTCAGCGGGGACACGGGGGAATACAGTTCTGGTACCTCCAGCAATGAATGTATGTAATGGCAAGGGGTTCTGGGGTGTGCTGGTAGATCTATTGTCACTGAAGGGGATCTAATGTAATGGGGTTTAATTATTGCTGGAAGGGGTCTACTCAGGGGCGGACTGACAACTCATGGGGCCCCCAGGCAATAGGGGATTATGGGGCCCCTGTGTCCTTGCCCAACCTCAAAAAAGCCTATGAAAAAGGTACCAGGGGCATCTCATGGGGCCCCCTACTGACCCCGGGCCCTCGGGCAGTGCCCGAGTTTCCAAATTGGCAGTCCGCCCCGGCTCTACTGTTGAGGGAGAGGTCAATTGTCTATTGTTGCTGGCTGTAGGAGAGTCTATTGATGCTGGATGTTGGGAAATCTGTTGTAGCTTCTCGGGGTCTATTGTTGCTGGGGTGGTATTTTGTTTTGGGAGTCCATTGTTGCTGGAGAAATCTATTGTTGCTATGGGGTCCATTGCTGCTGGCTGCAGGAAATCTATCTTTCAGCTTTTCTTGTTATCATTACCAAATTTCATACAAATTATTTAGCACCACAAAATTGTACTTGGTTCTGTATTCTCTATAAGGAGGGGTACTGGGAGGTGGGTTGGGGGTGGAACAAAGTGATGGTGCTTGGAGGTGGGTGGGGGGGCGGAGACAAGAAGTGACTCAGAAGTGACTCAGAGGCAGGAGGAACGGAGAAAAAAAAGCCCTGTCAGTATGTATGTGCATATATGTGCATATATATACATATATATATATATATATATATATATATAAAAAATATATATATAATATGAAGGGCTTTTTATTCATCTGGTACATGCTGGCACACAGTGCATCTTTCGGACCTCTGATCAGTGGGATCCACAGTGACAGACAGCAGAGTCAATCTCTGCTTTCACACATGTAAACAAAGTGCTGGGACAGAGGAATTTACTCTACTCAATTCCTTTGCTGACTGATGACATTATCTAATGCAGAGCCTGACAGAGAAATGAGTATTGTAAGTGTTCTGCCTCTGCTGCTTGTTTACAGTGACAGTTGAACTGTTTGTAACTGAATGGTCAGGAGGTCTGAATGAGGAACAGCTTAAAGCAGTTTCAAAGACTGAAAGTTTTTCACCTTCATGCATTCTATGAATAAAGATAAAAAAAAGGTAAGTATGTAGCCCCCCCTCTCCCCCCAGCCTCCCCTAATACTTACCTGAGCCTGATCTCGATCCAGCGATGTGCATTAGAGCATTGGCTCTCCTGTCTCTCTCTTTCTTCTCATTGGCTTAAAGACAGCAGTAGGAGCCATTAGCTCCCACTACTTTCAAATACAGCCAATAAGTAGGGAGCAGGGGGTGAGGGTCTGGAGCGAGCACACATGATTGCCCCCACAGCAAGTGGCTTGCTATAGAGGCACTCAGCAGGGGGGATTACCCAGGAGCACCATTGGGGGAAGCGAGAGAAGCAGGATTGGGGCTTTTTTGTGCAAAACCATTGCAGATAAGAGCAGATAAGTATGACATGTTTGTTAGTTTAAAAAAATAGTCTTTAATTATCACTTTAACTTGAAGGGCAAATAACTCTGTTATCTGGGGGACTGATTGATTAAGTCAGTGTTTCTCAACCTTTTCTGTCACTGCACCCTTGAAAAGTATTTTCAGTCTCAGGACACCCCAGGCTAAGGCTTGGTTAATATTACTGTGTATGTATCAGGAATGCGTGCAAAGTGGCAGAGGCGCAGGGGTGCCATTAATTCTTAATAGTATCCCCATCCACTGACAAACAGGTGCGTTTCTGCATGCAACTTATTGGTGCAGCTTAATTTAAAAAAATGTTTAATATGGGTCAGGACTTCTTTTCCTGTGTTCCTGTGGGTGGGGAAGTTCATTAAAATAAATGGACTGCCCTACATGTAGCACACAACCTCACAGATGTGAACTAAGGACTCATTCACATGTGAGGTTGGGGGATGGTAAACCTACATGGTAATGACATGTTCTTAATACCACCCCTCACCCCCCAACTGTTCCCCCTTTCACTGCAGAGGCAGCAGCCATGTTCGTACATATTTTGCAGCCTTGGCAGGAAGCATACCCCCATGCTGCAACCACCCTGTAACCATATGCATTGCATGGAGGTGGTGCATTTAGGAAGTTAAAACAGGCAGTGAAAAGGTGACATATCTCCAATTCACTGCCTGTCAATTGTCTCTGAAAAGCAATTGCGGTATGGATCACTTTTCAAAGAAGTGGCAGTCATTGCCACTATTGTCAACAAACCCTAAAAAAAAAGCACTTTTGATCATACAGTATTAGGGGTGAAGATTAACAGTAACATGTACACACATATAAACATACATAAACTCACATACATACAGTACAGTACATACATGTACACATAAACTCTCTCACACACATACACACACATATACATATAGATTTTTAAAAACTCCAGTACTTTACCTGCACCTGCACTGTACTGTAGGCAGATCAGATCAGGAAAGATGCTTCCCCTTCTTCTACTCTGCGATAACTGTCCTTAACTGTCCAGTACAAGCTCCCATTGTACTGATGTACAGTTCAGTGGAGCAGTGGGAGCTTGACCACAGCCTTTCTCAACCAAGATGTCACAATACCCCAGGATGCCATGGCACCTTGGTTGAGAAAGGCTAGGCTTAGCTATCAATACAAAAGTGGATATGGTCTAGTGGAAGTCTGAAAAGGCCAGGTCATTCTTTTAAGATACAGAAATAATCTCCAAATGCTACTACACACCATATGCCATGCTGTAAATTCCCTGTCCCACAATATTTCATTCCATATGCCATGCTTTACATTTCCTATTATTCTCCAACTCATTCTGTACTCTAGGGAAGTCCTTGATGTTCGAGTCGAACATAAGTACAATTCGAGCATCGGGTGTTCGTCTGTTCTGCAAACACACAAACATTTTGGGCATTCAGCAGGCTGTTTGCCCGCATAGCCCCACAATGCATTGCACTCAGACAGTGCATTTTGATTGGCCAAAGCACAGCACCTGACCGCAGGCCAATCACAGCACAATTAGACGGAGCTAGAGGTGACATCACCGCAAGCTCCACTTAATTGTTTTTATCTGACCTGCAAATTGCAGATGCAGTGAGTGCTCGGTGGGTGCGGGCGGGTCTGCGGGTGTGTTATATGGACAGAACCATTTTTTTTTTTTTAACAAAGGACTTGTCAAAGACTGTCTACTGTCATTTACATATACATAAACACTACACTACCTGATACTCATTTACATGGGGGGGGGGGGGCAATTATTTTTACATTCAGCTGTCAGTGGGGAACTCCGCTGACAGCTGAAACATTACCACATGTTTTCACTACTAAAATACAGCATGACTTAATATATATTTTAGTGAATTCCAACGTTTTTTTTTTGGAAAAAAATGCTGTACGGTATCTTACAGCATACTTGGATGTGGTAAGATACCACTTAGTGGATTGTCCCCTGGATTCGAAGTTCGCGGTCGAACTCTCTTTAGGTTCCAATGCTTGACTGTGAGTCTAACAGGAGGGTGTTCAGCCCACCATTACCTTACACCATGCTGTCAATTCCCTATTGCACAACACCTCATTACATATATCGTGTTGTGTATTCCATCTTCTGCACCACCTTATACTGTATACTATGCTGTATATTCCCCATTCTGCACCACTTCATTCCATATGACATGCTGTATGCTCCCTACTCTGCACTGCCTCATTTTGTATCCCATGCTGTTCGTTTCATATCCCCTATTCCATGTCACCTCATTTCATATGCCATGTTGTACATTACCTACTGAACACAGCCTTATTCAGTATTGTTGCTGTTGGGGGATTTATTGATGCTGCTGGGAGATTTATTGATGCTGCTGGGAGATTTATTGTTGCTGCTGAGGGATCTATTGATGCTTCTTGGGGGTATATTGATGGTGCTGGAGGATTTATTATTGTTGATGCTGGTCCATGTATTGTTGCTTCTGGGGGAATTATTGATCCTATTGGATAATTTATTGTTGCTTCTGGGGATTTCTATTGTTGCTGGGGGATTTAATGTTACTGTTAGAGGATTTATTGATGATGCTAGGGAGTTTATAGCTTATGTTGGAGGAATTTATGTTGCTGCCAGAGAATTCTTGTTACTGCGGGGGGGACTATTGTTGCTGACAGTGGAAACTATTGTAACTGCTGGAGCATTTATTGTAGCTGCAGAGAAATTTTTTTCTATAAAAGAAGGCAGTGCTAGGAGGCAGGTGGGTGTGAAGACAAGGGACGAGGCTGGGAAGTGGGTAAGGGGATGAGACAAGTGTGACCTGGATGTGGAGGGAGTAACTTGCAGTACCTGCACCTATTCTCTGAGAGAGAAAAAATAAATAAATATATATATATACAGTGGGGATCGAAAGTTTGGGCACCCCAGCTAAATATTTGTATTAATGTGCATAAAGAAGCCAAGGAAAGATGGAAAAATCTCCAAAAGGCATCAAATTACAGATTAGACATTCTTATAATATGTCAACAAAAGTTAGATTTTATTTCCATCATTTACACTTTCAAAATAACAGAAAACAAAAAAATGGCTTCTGCAAAAGTTTGGGCACCCTGCAGAATTTATAGCATGCACTGCCCCCTTTGCAAAGCTGAGACCTGCCAGTGTCATGGATTGTTCTCAATCATCGTCTGGGAAGACCAGGTGATGTCAATCTCAAAGGTTTTTAAATGCCCAGACTCATCTGACCTTGCCCCAACAATCAGCACCATGGGTTCTTCTAAGCAGTTGTCTAGAAAACTGAAACTGAAAATAGTTGACGCTCACAAAGCTGGAGAAGGCTATAAGAAGATAGCAAAGCATTTTCAGATGTCAATATCCTCTGTTCGGAATGTAATTAAGAAATGGCAGTCATCAGGAACAGTGGAAGTTAAAGCAAGATCTGGAAGACCAAGAAAAATATCAGACAGAACAGCTCGCAGGATTGTGAGAAAAACAATTCAAAACCCACGTTTGACTGCACGATCCCTCCAGAAAGATCTGGCAGACACTGGAGTTGTGGTACACTATTCCACTATAAAGAGATACTTGTACAAATATGGTCTTCATGGAAGAGTCATCAGAAGAAAACCTCTTTTACATCCTCACCACAAAAATCATCGTTTGAACTTTGCAAATGAACATATAGACAAGCCTGATGCATGTTGGAAACAAGTTCTGTGGACCGATGAGGTTAAAATTGAACTTTTTGGCCGGAATGAGCAAAGGTACGTTTGGAGAAGAAGGGGCACAGAATTTAATGAAAAGAACCTCTGTCCAACTGTTAAGCATGGGGTTGGATCAATCATGCTTTGGGGTTGTGTTGCAGCCAGTGGCACAGGGAACATCTCACGAGTAGAAGGAAAAATGGATTCAATAAAATTTCAGCAAATTTTGGATGGTAACTTGATGCCATCTGTGAAAAAGCTGAAGTTA